ATAAGTAACATTAGACTAATTAATAATTAATTGTGACACACACACAAAAAAAAAAAGATCAACGAAAAACAGTTACATAATCGAACCCGAGTTTGAACAGGCGGCAAATGGCCAAAATACAATTGAGAATCGTGTACAATCATCATGTGAAGAATTCATAAGAATATAATAACGAATAACAATTATGAATAAATAGAAAATAATTATAAGAAAAATAATAAATAGATACCATTTGATTCTAAAACAAAAGATATTCAATGGAAAAGCAAACAAACATATTGATTAAGTAAAGCATAGTTAGACTAACTATTAAGACAGTTAACTTTTTTCTTTTCAAAAAATGTAAAAAGATTATTTTCAAGAATAAAAATGTGGAAACAAATATTGACACATTGATCTTAATCCATAGTACTACTATATACGTGGGTCATCTTTCCATTAATTAAGTTGCGATTAAAATACTTACTTTTTAAGATAACTATTATGTTCATTATGTTGAACAAATTGAATGTGAACTTTTTTTTCGATTTTTGGTTCATCAGATAGACAAAGATGATCTGATGTACGCATTATTAAACTTGACGATAAAACATCTCTCTTCTGTTTAGAACGTCGTTTTGTTATCCTGTTACTGTAATTGTTATTATCTTCAAGTAAATTTTCTATTATTGAACCAGACGTATCATGTAACGACTCAGTGACCGTTTCATCCAAACTGTCATATTGTTGTGGTTGTTGTTGTTTCATAGTAATGCAAGAACTAGCATCAATTACATCATTAAAATATGTTGTTAACGATTGTTGTTGTTGTTGTTGATTTATTGGTGTAATTGAACGAGATGTATTAACACTGTTATCGTCAATGATAACACCGGAGTCAGCACGTGATGAACGATTGTCATCATTTTTAATAATCTGGCTAATATTTGACAGTGAACGTGAACGATTAAACACTTGATGAGAATGTTCAATTGCAAACACATTCGACACAGATTTCGAACAGTGAAATGGCGATTGCTGACGAGATAATGTACCATTTAACTGATGAAACGAAACACGTTGCAAAGACGACTCTAGAAAATGATTTTTATAGTCATCTTTAAGAACATTATTTATGAAATAAAAATAAAAAATTTTCCACTTTTTTTAAACAGTTAAGCTCATCTAACGTATATTCTAGAAGACTAATTAAAGTAATTTAAAACGTACCTAAAGCGGTATCAGCTAAATAATCACCCTTTGTATTACACTAAAATAAATAACAGAAAAAACCTGATTAGAATTTGTTTAAAAGATAGTAATTGTCATTTATTCGTATTCTGAAACTCATATCGAGTCGAAATAGATTTGGCTGGAGTTTTCTTGCAGACGAGTTGAAGAAAAACCTTTTTTGCCAGTTACTTATAAGCATAAGGACATGACTAATTCGAAAATATCTCTGCTCAGGTCTTCCCCGTTACCGAGATAGGAGGCATTATCCGTAAAATAACTACCTTTTCTACCAGCTACATATAATCATACCATTATGAATAAAATAACCATAAGTAGCTCGAGTACAGAATAGAGACATGTTGGCAGGTGCGAGCTTACTTTTCATTGGTAGAAATCGTGAAAGAATCAGAAGTCCGACATGGTTAAGAATGAAAAAAGTCCAAAATTTGGAAAATTTGCGCACTCTCTCCACCCATGGAAGACGTTTTTATAAAATTACAACTACCAGAGAATTTAAGTACAAAGTTACAGCTACCTAAGTAATTTCACCAAAAAATCTTGTCTTCCGAGCAATAAATAAGAGTCAGTTTTTAGGAAATAATGTCTCTTATCTCGGTAACGGAAAAGACCTGAGCAGAGATATTTTCGAATTAGTCATATCCTTATGCTTATAAGTAACTGGCAAAAAAGATTTTTCGTCAACTCGTCTGCAAAAAAAACTCCAGCCAAATCTATTTCGACTCCATATGCTAATTCAAACACAATGCTATTTCTTAAAACTCCGTAAGTGAAAATATGAAAATAATTAACAATGGACAACAGTAGCTAAATATTTATCAAAAATTAAGAATGGATAAAACTTGAAAACAAATATTTTAAAATGTTATTAGTATTCGTTTGTAAATCATTTAATATTACTTACTGTTTTCATTGTACTGTTGGATTCATATAATCGTTGTTTGTTTCGAAATCTACGAGCCTTCGATTCTAAATACGCAGCAAAGAAAGACATTTAGAAACTGCGAATAATACAGGTATATTCACCGTATCGTGATTGATTTTGTTGTAGATTTATTCGTAATTCTCTGAAATAAATAGTGAACACTCATTATTTTTGCAATGTTTCAAAAAGCGTAAAAATAATCTTACTCTTTGTACTGATTTATTTTTTCAATTAATTTTTTTTGAGATTTTTCTAATAATATAGTTTTCAAACGGAATGATCCTACTGTGGTATTTTGTTCAATTAGTTTTGATTCGTACGCTTGCATCTATAATAAGAAAGCTTACCAATGCAGACCTTGGGTCTAAAGTGTAACCCCATTCAAACATGATGGATTAAGGTGGAGCTGGATGAAATCTATGCCCAGAGTGTGTTGGTTTCTTAAAACACGGTTTCTGCGTAAATACATTCTTCTTTAGCTAGTACTCGTAAAATTTTCAGATTTCCAGTAATTTCTCCCTTTATAAACTTTCACTCTTTGTTCTTCCGTTTTCAGAAGAATACAGGGGAGGGGTTACACAAAAATAATAACGAGGGCCAAACTAACGATCTTATATATTCACTTTTTCATCGTATGAACGTATTGTTTGCCGAAGATAATCAAGTTCATTCTGGTATGTTTTCAATGTTTGAATTATGTTTGATGGCTTTTCTTCGATACGTGGATCCACCAAACGAAAGAAATCATCAATTTCAACTTCGATACATTGACGTTTTTCTATAAACATAAATAGTAAATCAATTAATTAAAACCAAAAAAGATAAATCGTACCGCGACTAGCAAGAAGAAGAGTTTGTAACTTTCTAAATCTAAAAGAGAAAAAAAAAGACATGAAAGTAATTGATATCAAAAGCGATAATGTCTCTCATACCGTCCTTCTACAATATCTTTATTTTCAATCACTTTCTTTATTAATAATTTTACTGTTGTTAAATGCTTGTCCATTGTATCCGATGATTCTCTTATTTGCTTTCGATCTATTTCGCATTGTGCATTGCCAAGCAAATTTGTTATGATATTATTCATATTTTGACTATTTAGATGAAGTTGTTGAAGCTGAATAGCAAGAATGAGAGGGTAAGATTCACTGTGAAATTGTCCAAACCAATACATACCACATCTTTCAAATGTATCGAATCAAATGTTTCACATTTTGATAATAAAATTTTTAATTCCATATCGTTAACGTTTTCCAACGTGTTTGATGACTCCAGACAACTGTTAACAACTTCACTCGATAAATTTTCCTGAAGAAAAAAGAAGAAAAAAAAAGTTGAATCATAAGCAACTAAGTCGATTAGAGGAATGAAAACATGCTTAAATACTATTGTAAGAGATTACGAACGAATATAAAGACAAAGCTACTACTGACTATGAGGTTTTAATAAGAGAGAGGAAGTTCGAGTCTTTTTTCATCAAATCCACTTACAATGGAAATAATTTCAGCAAACAATGATTTTTCATTAGATATTGTTGATCTTCGAGACCAAATGTCAAATTCATTACACATTAAACTTTCATCGTATGAAGCTGAGCTACTATTGTCACACAAACTTGATATTGATAAATTCGCTTCAATACACTGGCTTTTAACTCTAAAAATAAAATTTACGTCTACAGAATATATATGTTAATTCATAAGACTGAAACGCACATTCGTAATTGTTCACGTAAATCAGCAATACTTTTTGTGAGTTCAAAGTTTTTATGTGTTATATCCTAAAAGAAAAATAAGAAAATATGTATTATATTTCAGTATGGTCTTACTTTCACAATTATGATTTTTGGAAAAAAACCGATGATTTTTTTGGCAAAGATTATTAGATATTCAGATATCTGTAGATCTGAACATCTATGTGTCTGTACATTTAGATATCTGAATACCTAAAGATCTAAACATTTGAATATCACAATATCTAAATATCTGATATTATAAATAAATATCTGAGATATTATGTAATTGCAGATGTTCATAAATCAGACCGGTCTCTTATATTTATGGCGCAATAAAACGTTTTCATTTTTCACTTACTCGATTGACTGATTCCAAATCTTCAACATTTGTTCGTAAACTTTTAATTACTATTGCATTCTAAAGAGTACACAAAAATAAAATCTAGATATATTCCATTTAAAAAGCCCAAAATATACCTCCTTTAATTGTGTTTCTGCTCCTTGTAACTGGTGTTCAAGACAACGTCGAGCATCCTGAATACAAGAACCGTAGTAAGATAAAATTTCAAATAACCTAACAATTATATTTACCTGTTCATGTGTAAATAAGACTTCAATATCATTAAATTTTCTCGCGTACTCGTTACGTTCTTTCAAGGTATCTTTTATCTAAAAGAAAAAAATTTGATACAGTGTAATGTTATTGTTGCCTATTTTTATAATCACCTCCACTTCAAAATTTGTTATTGTTTCATATAATTCAAATTTTTCTTTTTCACATTGTCTCATATCTTCTTGTAACATACATATTGATTCTCGAAGTGAATCATTATAAACATGTAAATCAGTGTTCTCATGGGCATAACGTTCACGACGATCAAGATCATCTATGAGTCTGAAAAAATACAATTTCAAGAACTATGTTTAAACGAGAAAAACTGCATTACAACATTTCACATACGAACGTTTTTGTTGAACAAATTCTTTTCGTTCATTCTGTAAACGTATAGTTTCGTCTTCTAATCGTCGATATTCATTATTTAGAAATTTAATACGTTCATCTTGTCGATGATTTTCATCAAACAATTCATTTAAATATATTTGACACCTAAACACGCAGACGACAATCACATTTATTGAGTAAAACAAGAGAAAAGCGTAATTACTCACGTTACATGATCATGAATACAATCCTCTGACTTGTGAATATCTGCTCTCACAATGTTCAAATTATCATAATTTACTGGAAAAAAATTTTTTCAAGGTTAGAGTGTCTCGTATGCACATGCATCATGAATAATCAGTTTACCGTAAATTTGTGGTGGACGAATTCGACTAATACCAGGCTGATGAGACATCAGGCTGTCATTCAATTTGTTCTGAAAGAGATGCGTGAAACAGAAAGTATAGTAGTTTGTCTGTTTTTAAAACTTATCACCTTATCATCTGAGCTGTCTTTCTATTTTTTATGCAATTCAACATCCTCACTATTCTTCTTTATGGTGTCATCGTTCCAAGTATGCTCGTATTCCTTTTCGTGTTAACGGTTTCTCTTCTCAAACCGTACATTCTTCTTTCTATTGGTCCACAGTTACCGATTGGAATATTCCTGGGGCCTGTTTCTTAAAAAAACTTAAGTAGAAAATTTTACTTAAGTCAAAAAAGACAAAGACTTTTTTGGACTTAAGTTTGACTTAAGTCAGATTTTCTACTTAAGTTTTTTTAAGAAACAGGCCCCTGAATCGGTCATCTATTGTTCATCTTTATTGTCTTTCAAAATTCCTTTTTCTTAATGTTAAGAGTCACCTTTATACCAAATTTTTAGCTTTCTCATTTATTTATTTTTTTACAGCTTTTGCGCAGTTCGTCTTTTACTTTCTTTCTTTTTTCTCAATTAGCATCTTGGTTTTTATCTGGGGCCTGTTTCTTAAAAAAACTTAAGTAGAAAATCTGACTTAAGTCAAACTTAAGTCCAAAAATGTCTTGGTTTTTTTTGACTTACGTCAGATTTTCTACTTAAGTTTTTTTAAGAAACAGACCCCTGCTTCTTCATCTTCTCTGTTTATTGTTTGATGGGAGTCATCGCATTACAGGCTGGCGACTTTAGATGATCGCTCACTTTACATGAATAATTCAATAATAATTCAGTTCAATATTGATTTAAAAACACAGTGGGTAAAAAAGCAGAATTAGTGCTCGAAGTGAAAGAGAACTACTGCTGCAACGTTCAAAAGTCGGATAAATATCATAGCGAATCGGAAAAAACGAGATCATGTCAATTATGGACAAAAGGGATACATATCAACAACATGAAGCAAAAAAATAAAGCCCATGCAAAGTCGGGGAAAATGTATTGATATTAAATCTAACTCACTCAGAGCAAGAAAATGAGCTTTAAAATATATGTAGCGCAGCAATTGAACCTGGCAATGGTTTAAAAATTCTTTCCTTCACTTAAATACATAGATATATCGACGAACAGAAATGCGCACGAAGACGAAATTCCGCCAAGAGTCATACAGTATAGTCACAGGTAGAGTTCACAAGAAGGATATAATGACTTCTTCTCCGCTAAAATATGTTTTAAGTGAGATTTCACCGTTGAACACATATAAACTGTACGCGTGAGCTCTACTTTTCTTACTACAGTACATTGTCGTCCCATGATGTATAAAGTGTACAGGTGAATCGAAAAATACTGAGCGGAGCTTTTCTTTTTCTTGTAAATCGATTCTGTAAGTAGAGTCCAATGGGACTGACTACCCTGATTCTGATCCCGAAAAAAATTACTTCTCAATTTATTAGACCTACTTCTTTACCATCCACTCGCTACATCTATCATCTGGCTGTGATAGACCCTCATTTATTCGAAGGTCAACCCTAGTGAAACTTCTTGTACCGGTTAAAAAATGGCACAAGATCTTGTAAAAAATATCTTATTCTTATTTTTATTAATGACTTGCCTCTTTCTCTTCCATATAATTGTGAAATCTGTCTTTTTGCGGATGATGTCTTTTTAATTGTATCTCTTTGTCCCTCGGATCCTTTTAATTTCTCTCATGTTCAAACCTGTATAAATTCTGCCTCAAATTAGTCTACTTCTAATCTCATGTCTCTCAATGTGTCTAAATGTTGTTGGCTTCCTTTTAGTTTCGATCCTTTCCCGTTTGTTTACAATCAGCTGTATCCTAATAAAGTCCCTCTTTCCGGTGTGTTTTCTGTTCGTTGTCTCGGAGTTCTTGTTTCGCACGATCTTAGGTGGAGTGACCATGCCAGAGACATTGCCCTTGCTTGTCGACGCAAGCTAGGTGCGCTGAGCTGTGTCTTTGGACTCGCTGCGTCAGAGGTTCGGCGTCGAATCTATACTTATCTTACTCCTCTTTCTATGTTTTACTCTATTCATCGTCCTCATTACTCTTCCTTATGCTGTCATCGTTCTAAATATGTTCGCATTCCAACCTCTGTCAATGGTTTTTCTTCTCAAACAGTTTTCTCTTCTTTTTACTATTCAACTATTACTGACCGGAATAAACTTCCTGAGTCAGTTATTTGTTTTTCTTCATTAGCGTCTTTCAAAAAGGCACTAGTTCAGTATCTCTTACAGAAAAATATCAGCCGTGTTCCTAGTCATTATTAACTGGTATTGGTTGTTTCTCTAGAGTTATTTTATTTGTGTCTATCTTTTATTGTTACTTTTATATCCTCGTTGCATATTCTAATCTCTTTTTCTTTTCTTTTGTTTACTTCTGTTATTATCTTTAGTTTTATTTATTTATTTTATTTATTTTCTTTTTTTGTTTCCCTATCTCTTTTTATTCTGCTCTGAGTCATCGATATTACAGGTCATGGACCTCTGATGACTCTCGAGTGATTCGAAATAAATAAATAAATAAATAACCTCATTTATTCGAAGATCAACTCTAGTGAAACTTCTTGTACCGGTTAAAAAATGGCACAAGATCTTGTAAAAAACACCATGAAGCCAAGAGTTCGGGGAAATTATTTCCTTTACATTTTATTTTCATATATGATAGCCATCAGGGGCCTGTTTTAAGTAAACAGGAAATTATACTTAAGTTTTTTTGAGAAACAGGCCCCAGATATATGTCCATATCTAACCATAGAATGTAGCTTAAAGAATTATGTTCACGAAAGACAACAAGATATCAGGCTTTTTCTGCTACAGAAATACATGTTTGTTTTTTCAACAGACACTTAACAACACTCAATAACATTTAAAAAGCACTAATATTTCAAGCATTGATTGTTGCTTTTGTAATTTTCTTTTAACCCTTCATTCATGAAAAACACTTAAAAACAGTGAACTGATACAAATCAAAACAAAAACATACTACATATTATGAAGACGTGGATTCTTTTTTGACTAAGCACTTGCTTTTGATAGATCTGGTTTAGATAGAATTAAATTCTAAAATTGTTTACAATTAGTATCAATCAAATATGTGACACATGTGGAAAAAGAAAAAACTAGAATTCTTTTACGAATATGTACTTTTCAGAAAAAAAGTAAAAAGCTCCAGAAATCGGAAAATCAAAATTCAATCGGAAAAGAAACTCGAAATTGGAAGAGTTAGCAACCCCGTTGAAGATCGATTATGAGGACGATGTCAGTGAAAGTAAATTGGTGAAACGAAAAGTTCTGAGAACATGTTAACGATCGTGTTCTTTTGTGTCGTAGGAGATTAGGAGCGACGATTCGAGTTTTTCGCGAGGCTCCAATGTTAGTTCGATTAAATATTTTCAAGGCGTGTATCTAAAGTAAGATTGGTTATTGTACAGTGCTGTATACGATAGTGAATGGTACAGTTCGTTGGCAGATCGAATAACGAATCTAGCAGAGAAACCAATTTATAGGAACATTGATGGCTCTGCCAGTAGTAGTAATAGTATTTTAAGTGAGCTGATTGAAAAAGTGAAACTATCAGATGTCTCAACAACGACGATATTTTCGTTTTCTTCATATTTTTAAAATTATAAACAACTTATCGCCTTTATCGAAATTTGATCTACCATTATTGCAGTTATGTTCGGATCGAAGATCAAACTGTTTAGTCAGGATCAGATAAACACAAGACAAATAAAAACGCTAACTGTACTAAAACTCATCATCATTTTTCTATCTTGCAGTGATTGATTGAAACAGTTTGTCGGAGGAGGTTATTTCAGTTCATACTACTAGTCAATTTAAGCGTGCTATAAAACTGTATCTGTTCATACGATTCAATGCTTGTAAAGTCATATGGAGTAATTATGATAACTATAGCAAAAATATCTGGAATGAACTTAAATAACTCAGTTTCAACGAGAAAGCTTGAACAAACTAATTAAAAATTATATTCATTTGCAAAAAAAGTTCTACTCTATCTCCGGTATGAATTGCCAGTTATTCGGACTTGACCTTAATTTGTTAATTAGAAATTACGAAAATAAAATATTTTTCATTTTTTCACACTACAGTGTTGTAAGGGCCCCCCCTTCAGAAATTATCTCCGGCACCGTACATCCGATCTTGACGAAACTTTCCATAAACGTTCGACACAATGAGTTACGGGAATGAAAAGATTTTTTGTCTCCAAGTCTTACGGTTTAGGAGTTTTCCAGAGATCGAGGTCCAAAAAGGACCCTGAACGGCATTCCAAGATTTTTTAATATACTTCAAGCTGGAGAGTTCGGGTCTGTTTTATTTTAAACTAGACACCTAACTACATCGACTGACCGGCGCCGATTTTTCAATTAAGCCTTTATTGGTTTTCCAGGCAACCAACAACCTTCAAAACCCGAAAAGCCTTCCGGATTTTCTAAAAATCCTCAGTTTGACAAAAACCTAAGACCTAATTCAAAAATCGACGCCGGTCAGTCGATGTAGTTTCTTTTCCTCTTTTAAACAAAAAAAGAATGAACTCTCTACGACAGACCGCTATTAAAAATCTTGGA